CTCTGTGCGAAACACCTTGCCACACAGCGAGACGTCCACAGTAATTTATCTCACTGGACACAACACGTCACCACTTACACCACGAAATGTCACCCCACGGTTCAGGCAAAAGATCACTTTTGGTCCTAGCAGGTTCTTAAAATTTTCACTCAATACCGAGACTGTCGCGCCTGTATCCACAAGTGCCATAGTAGCCACTGCATCGAACTACATGAACTTTGTTCTTCAACATGAACGCTGGCGGGGTATATCTGTCGATAGCACCTGTGATCTCGCGGCCTCACCCCCACTGGCCGTGACGACTAGTTTTCCGGTGGCGATGTTCATGCGCGTCGCCATGGTGACGGCGATCGTGGAGCCCGTAGACCTGGTGGTGGCTTCAAACTTCGATCAGAGGCCGGTGAGGGGTAGCGTGACCCGGTAGGTGCGCGTGGTTTCCGTGCCGTGTAGAGTGCATGATTGGAAGGTTGGTGAGACATGTACCAAGGCTGTCATTGATATGGGCGGTGGTCACAAAAACGTGCGATGTGAACAGTGACGCCACAGTTGTAGCACACCGAAATCGGTCGGAGGGCATGTGGTGGCTGCTCAGAGTAGCGACTTATCAGAACAACTTAGTCATTGAGTATGTCCTACATTCCAGCGCAGTGAAAGCAATACAATGCTACATGTGACATGAATTTGTTACGCGAAAGCATAAAATCAAGACGCTCTTGGCAGTTTGCATCTAGCTGGTGTTGTACGAGTCATAACGGCTTGCACCACATGTGTGAGAGGAAAAGGATCAGTACTTATCAATAAGCGCCGGCTGTGCTAGTAAGACAAGTAGGTGACTCCGAGTGATCGGGGCTTGTCTCTGAAATTCAGTCGACGCTGTTTTTATCCGTGAGTAAATCAAGAGCAAGATATTCAGCAAGTCTGCTTGTGTTTGCATCAAGAGACGTATCGGAAACTCTATGTGTCATCTTTGTTAGAGAGATGTCCCAACCAATCAGAAAGCAGAGAATTTCTTGTCATGGCTTACGTCAGTGGATTTTTCAGTCATTTACAGAGAGTGAGAAGTTTTATGGGCCATGACAGCTAAGCTGGTAAGAAGTCGCTCTGCTAAGATTGTAGAAATAAAGGTCCATTTCTGAGCGAGGTCGGTTGCATTGAAACAAGACAAATATGCCAGAAATCCCGCGAACATTGGAAGCATTACGGAGATCTGAACTTCATTGTGCTTGCGGTAAGACCGTGAATTGGTTCTTAGTAATTAAATATTTAGTATTATTTAAAGTTCACTAAAGGCCCTAACATGTACACAGTTTGTCAGCGAAAAAAATATTAGAAAACACTTCTGTTTCGCGACAAGGGAAGGCTGGCAATTCATGTGGTTGTTATTCGCCCTGCAAAAGATGGCGATGCTTTCGTTTGCTGTGAGGTTGGCGCAGTTCAAAATATTAATTTTTTGTGCTGACAAGCCTATGGTATGTTGTATAAACTTAGGCGTGCGAAGATGTTTAATGAACGCCTTCGCTAACTTCAGTACACATTTACGAGAGCATCAACTTCTCCTTTCTCAAGCCATCGGAAGCTACGTGGGTGCAGAGGATTTTACTAGTAAACTCTCATGACCATTAGGTGGAACTGCAATAAGTGTGAAATTATGGAGTTCATACACATAGAGACGTTTTCTGACCATTTCGCATCCAAGACATATGCGTTACTTATTATTGTGAATTAGGCGCATGGACCTATGTGGCTTTCTAGTTCTTAGGAAAGTTTTTATTTTCGTCATACAGAAAGAAATAATGCTGAGATATATTAGACTATTCATAAAAGCAGTGGAAAAATCAATGACTGGATTCCATGGAAGAGGGGGAAAATTATCACGGGGTGGTGACATCAACGTAAGAAGCAGACTCTAGCTCAAATATTTAACTGTATATTCGGCCAAACTTGGGACCAGAGAATGAACAGTCCGTTTACAATCACATACCAGAAAACTGAGAGCGGGGAACTGAGCGTCGGCCGTCGATAAACTGATAATCACCGAAGCGCGTCGGCATTTATACACGTCCCATCAATGAGCCGACATGGCCCATCGCTAGTGGCCATGTAGGCTCCAGAATTAACTGTATTGTTCGCGAAGTGGGCGTAATCTTAACAAAATGATCTAATATAGTCTTGAAGGTTCTCGAACAGTGCAGGAGCGGTTTGCGCCAATACTTGGGCACAAAGTAACAGGGTGATTACAAAGTTTAAAGAGAGAACGCAGCTATTTTTACTGGTTTCGCAGAAATAACGAGAATCTCAAAACAAGGTTGCCTAAGCACATGATCAAAAACAGCTGTCAGCCCCTGCACTAAACAAATGAACCAGAGCCTCTACAAGACTGGCTCAAATTTCGACCTCTATGTCGCCTTCAGGAAGTTGTCGAACTTTTCCTCACTGGTTCAGCAACGCAAACAAACTAGCTGCATTAGAAAGTGTAATGGGCACACGTGCTGCGCACGTATATCAGTATGAAGAGTCCCAATATTGTGTCCAGGAGAGCCAAATAGAATTATGTTCTATATCGGGCTGACGACACACGATAAGAGGATTCTTAACTTATGATTTACTACAATCACACTAATTGCTAGAATCGTGAGGCTCTACCTTGGAGGAGGCCAGAAGCAACGGCGAGGTGGCCCTCCTCGTACAGCTAGATGTCCATCGCGCTATTGACAGCCTACCTCATATAGCCATAGTGAGTACTTTAGACACACACGGCATTGTGGGCTGTCTCCGTACCGTGTATTTTACCTATACGAACCCTCCGGGTTGGATTTCGACGCGCACTCAGCAATGCAAGGCCAGTGACTGCTGGCATTCCACAAGGATCTGACTCGAGGCCCTTTTTGTTCAAACTGATGATAGTAGGGCTGCGGGCTGCATACCCCTTGACAAGCGCTACCGCACGCAGTGCTCCTTGCATGCAGACGATTTGGCACTGTGGGTTAAGGGGCCTAGAAAGAACCTGACAATCATCAGGTGCTCCTTGCGACGCTGCTTGGATGTTGTGCCTTTTTCTTGAAGACAATCGGAGTGAAAGTTTCGCCCCGAAGATAGAGACGCCGCTGCTTCACCCTAGAGCCACTGCGCGGAGGGTCTTATGAAGGCTTGTGTTAGGTGACCGGCCGACTTCGTGGAGCAAGGCAGTAACGCACCTCTGGCTAGAGATATACCACCACTTTACCTAGATACCAGCCAGAAAATCACCGCCTTTAGGGCTACCAGGTTCGAGACTGTTCTCAGCAAGTTGCTCAGCAGGAGCTAAGGATGAACTTCCGGCTGGCCCTTAGGCATTATCTGGGGACTGTAACTGTTGCGCAAACTTACACACTGCCCCTGGTTAAACTAGCACCTCACCACAAGGAGCAGCTAAAACGGCAATACCGTATGACGTTTCGGCGCTTCAGGGGACTTTCCCGCCAGTCACCCTTGGTTGCAGCACTGGCTGAGGCCCAGACCTGGCATCTGCCACACTTCATGCTGCGACAAGTGCAGCATCATGTAAATTGCCTTCCTAGGGCCCCGGGGACGCTGCCATATTTTGGAGACTACGGATCCGACCAAAGTCATCCATGGCACAGATATGCGGTATTTATAAAGATCTGGTACATGAAGTTCCCTGTCCCTTCTACCCCTTCCACCACATTAGCAGCCTACGGGCGGGCAAGCTGCACCAGGATGTCATGCAGTAAATCTATGACAGGTGGCTGGCGCGCGTCTTGGTGTTAACGGACAGGCCTGCTCTAGACTGCCCCCGCTCGGTCATGGCTACCTGCGTCATACCATCGACTAGGAAATCCATCTGATGACGACTACTTTCCCACGCCAGCTCCAGTGCAGCTGTTTTGGCCAGCCATCACTTGGCAGCAGGCTACCTCGCAGCCACGTCACACCAGCTGCTTTTGCTGATTCTGTGCGACTGCGTACTAGTCCTACAAGTGCTCACCCAACCAGACCAAGCAGGCATCACGGTAGCGACGCTGCACGCGCATAACGGACTGCCATGGGACATAGAGGTGTACACCTATCCCTCTACTGGCTTCCCTTCTATGTTGGGATAGCAGGCAACGAGGAGGCTGGCACCACCGCTAAAGTGGCAGACCAATAAGTCACGCCAGTCACCAAGACGGTAGCCCCAGTTGCATTACTTTGGGCACCCCCTGCGGATGCTCATACCAATAGCCCACCCTCACACGCGGGTAGCAAGGGGTAAACCTCCTTCATCCCTTCTGGAAACCAGCCTGAACAGATGGTAGCGGCGATAGTTGGTTGACCTGTGCACCGACAGCGCCTGGCCTTTGGCACGCATGTATTCCACGGGTCACTTTTAATCACCTGTGTGCCGAAGGTGCGGGGAAGATGACACGCTCCAGCATTGGCTCCTGCCTGGATCTGGTCACATAACGTTGTGTGCTGGTGGGCCGTTATCGCCTGCTCATTCTGCCTGCGGTAACAATGGCAGACTTGGTTTTTCAAGCGCGCTTGAACACGCAATCCCTCTGAGACTTACTCGAGTTCTGTGCGTCTGTGGACCTCACCGCCTTATGGACGAACGCTTTCACTTCGTGCTACTGACGGCGCTGACAAGACCCTCTCTGATAATTACCTTTCAGTTCTTTTCTTTCTCTCCTCTCCTCTTTCTGTGAACTTCACTTCCCCTCCAACTTCTCTAAAGGTGCTGAGCCATGCCCCCGCGACGGAAGGCAAAAAATAACGTCATTTTTTACCTATTTGTTTTTCCTTCACCGCTCTCTCTTATCAGTGAAGTTTGCTTCTTCCTATTGATGCATAGGGAGTGCGAGATCAGAGAAAGACAATTTCGCTCCAAAAAAACGTGATGCGCTTCGTATTTCCACTCCACGCACATTCAAAACTATGTTAAATCACGTGGTACACATTAAAAAATTTTTATTACTGATTTTTCTCTATGATGTAACTTTATACTAAATTGTTATAAATACCTGTTGATACAGCCAGGGACGCTGTGTAAATGCACAGTGCACCCAAACTTTGCTGAAAAAAAAACAAATAATTTTCTTGAATAACATAATAACACAACTGGCATCTAGCTTCCTCGTAAGCGGTTTTAATAAGCAAAACACGAGATAGTGGGACTGCAGTAGACAACAGCTATTCCGAAATATGCGCTGAATATGTGCTAATTACTCCCGCCTCGCCACACCAAGAGATGCATGATGCATATATAAGAACCTAGCTATATATATATATATATATATATATATATATATATATATATATATATATATATATATATATATATATATATATATATATAAATATATATGAGGGAAAGAAGTGTATACCTAAGGGCTCGTTTTTTCGCGTTTTGACACAATAATAATGAGATCTAACCGACAGTAATGCCAAGAAGTGCATAGGGGAAGTTTTCAGAACCAATGGAACGTAAATAAAGGGAAAGAAAAGTGGGTGAAAAACTAACCAACCGTGAGCACGAATCGAACCTACGGCCTTCGAATAACGCGTTCGATGCTCTAACCACTGAGCTATCACAGCGGCCTTCCCTCCATCCACTTTTTGGGTTTATATGTGGATTTAGAAGTAGGAGTGTCAATCAGCGCCATCTATAGGTCAAGCGACCAGTGTGAAACACTCTTTTATGCGCACGTGTGGCGTCACGTACCACGTGAACTTGTTACGAGCGGGCAGCTGATCAATAGTCTCTTGTATACAACCTAATGAGACCAAATCTGCCAGTACGAGACCCTCGTTAATGAATAGGGGAAAGAAGTGTATACCTAAGGGCTCGTTTTTCCGTGTTTTGACACAATATTAATGAGATCTAACAGACAATAATGCCAAGGAATGTACAGGGAAGTTATTAGAACCAATGGAATGTAAATAAGAAGAAAGAAAGGTGGGTGAAAAAATAACCAGCCGTGAGCATTCTCACGGCTGGTTATTTTTTCACCAAGTTTTCTTTATTCTTACTTACATTCCATTGGTTCTAATAACTTCCCTGTAGATTCCTTGGCATTACTGTCTGTTAGATCTCATATATATATATATATATATATATATATATATATATATATATATATATATATATATATATATATATATATATATATATATATATATATATATATATTTATATATATATGTGTGTGTGTGTGGTGGATGTGTGTCAGCTGGATGCCTGAATTACACCCGCCACGCCACACCAAAAGACACATAATGCATTTAGAAGAACCCGACTCTCTATTCTATGTATCTATGAGTATATAAATATAAATATATATATATATATATATATATATATATATTTATTTATTTATATATATATATATATGATAGCGATCACAACAATAACGCAACGTGGGCAGGTAGTGCATGACTATTACTCCTAAATAAGTGATAGTTTTTTGGTTGTCGAACAATGAACAGCATAAATGCTTACCGCGAAAAGAAAGTACAAAGCGCAAGTTGCAGCTGCAATGGAACTGCCGAACCGCATCCTGTGGTACTGTAGAAGGAAATATAATCCATATTCATTAAACGCACAGCATGATCGCGGATAATATACGAATGCGTAATGGCAAAACCCTGGCTAGAAAATGATCTTTCACGAAAGAATTTGTGCGTTTAGGATAACATCTACCTTTTAAGTTCTACATCTTGCGGTAAAGCGGCTAAGCCCCGATATCATGAAGCATTACTATAGGTTTAGAAGTAATTTTTCAGAGATTGAGCAATGACTCTGAGATTGTTAGAGACAAGCAGTCACCCAAATTCGATGTTTATGTGATAGATGAATCTATAAAGAGATTATAAAATCAATTGTGAGAAGCATAAATCTATCATTTCTCGGGATGATATGTTTACGGAGTGTTCTGTGCCTCTCAGAGACAGCACCAAGGAAACTGATTGGCGGCGAAAAGTCGTTCGCGGCGCAGCTTTTTCAGATAAACTACTGGCAGTCCAGATGACTTACAATAGGGCGGTCATGTTATACCTCACTTTTGCAATGTGGGAGTTATCTGCATCAACATTGCAGTCAATCTTCAAAAGCTAAATAATGTTGACGATGTCATACCATCTCTAGGCTGGCGCACAGAACCATATTTACTCACCTGAAACTAGTGATTGTGATTTGAGTGCGCCTTATAAAGATGTGATGGCGTGCTCTGGGAGGAAAATTTTTGTTTGAACTTTTCAACAGCGATGACGTGTATTGTGTTGTTAGTCTGTCGGTGGAACTAAGCTAGTCATGCGGGCCCAAATGTATTCGCCTCATATGAGACTAAAGCTATCATCATTTCCTTCCCAGCAGTCGAATGCCTCATCATTTTCCACAATCCTATTTCAAACATGGTCAGGATTGTTTTTAATATTATCAGATGGTAGAAATGAAAGCGGTGCCTTTGTACTTACTGAACGTTTAATTCACACTTTGCCGTTCAAGGTCAATTATTACCATATTTTTTTTTCAAAGCTAACAAATAATATTGATTAACAAAATATATCTCCTTTCATAAGAGGTATTTCTGTAAATATGAATGCATCGTTTTTACACTGAAAGATCTAGATGTCTGGCTTAACACTGAATATTGGCCTGGTTATGCTTGGATATTTCGTATGTTGAGTTACTTTATAAATTTTGTGATCCATTGTTTTATTTATTTTAACTAGTAAAGATGTTGAAAGCAGAGTACACGTGATAGCTATCACACCACAAAACATTTGATATCTATGTACAGTGGTACTGATATATCAAAAGGTGCTTATGCCCCGCCGCGGTGGTCTAGTGGCTAAGGTACTCGGCTGCTGACCAGGAGGTCGCGGGTTCGATTCCCGGCTGTGGCGGCTGCATTTCCGATGGAGGCGGAAATGTTGTATGCCCGTGTACTCAGATTTGGGCGCACGTTAAAGAACCCCAGGTGGTCGAAATTTCCGGAGCCCTCCACTACGGCGTCTCTCATAATCAAATGGTAGTTTTGGGACGTTAAACCCCACAAATCAATCAATCAGAAGGTGCTTAACCTTACCTTAAGCTTTAGTCAAGAAAGTGGTTTCTAGTACATAGATCTATGCTTTATAAACAGCACCATTGTAGAACACACATCGCGCGAAAACGCTAGTCTCATTTTACTTAGGTATAATGACACCGACGGAGTAGATATGCAGACTTGGCAGGTAAAGACTAAGCCATCTATTGACATCTTTATTGGATTAGTTTTTTGGCGCGAATGGCTTATTATGAGACTCATTGACTTTTTAAGTTGAAAAATCGTAGGTCCGAAGAAGAGGTCAATGGATGGTCGAGAACGCTGTTCGCAGTTACACGACCCGCTGTTTCACAAGGAATAAAATGTTTGTGAATTTGTCAAACGGTACTCGTGTTATTTACTTGCTTATTGCGAATAATAATAATTGGTTCGAGCAACCTACACAGAAGGCACAGGCCCTGCCGCAATGATCTAGTGGCTAAGGTACTCGGCTGTTCACCCGCGGCTGTGGCGGCTTCATATTTGATGAATGTTAAACTGCAGTATGCCCATGTTCTCAGGTTTGGGTGCACATTAAACAACCTCAGGTGGTCGAAATTTCCGTAACCCTCCACCATGTGTCTCTTATAATCGTATGATCGTTTGGCATACTGAATCAGATATATCAACCAATCGTCACAGATGGGACAGGTCTCAAGCATTTTTTGTGTTTCTGTGAGGCTCCCCATGTGGTCCCCATAAATTCAAACATGTATGGAACAAAGTCTACAAATTACAACTTCGGCGTCGACATTCAATTCATTCTGGATATAAGTGTTCATATGCTTGCCGAATCTTGGTGCCTGAACCCCTTCAGAAATAATCCCTGCATTAGATAAGGGAAATGTGTTCTTTCAAGTGGAAGCGTTGGGTGGTGTTTTATTCAATGCCTAACTCCACCGCCACCTTCCGCACCTGCTTCAAACTTCTTTACTGTCCTGGCGCTCAAGCGTCTACACTTCACGACAGAGGCCTGCTAGCTGAGGTGAGCTTTGACTACTAGTCTAGAACGTACCAAACGTCGCGGCAATAAGGCCAACTTTCTAATCCTTCGTGTCAGCTGAGGCACATTTTAAAAACATGTTTAGTGAGAAATTCACTATGTGAAAACTGCGAAATGCTGCAATGAAGCTTGTGTAAAGTAATGTGTCATCTTGTACAGAGAGGGCTTATAAGACATGATTAGGGCTGTACAAGTGGTTTGCCACAATTATTCACAATAATTGCGTTTGAATTTCTTCCAGTACCCCAATGAATTCAACGAAAAACGTTGCGGTGCACATTGGGTGAACTAGTACGTGAAGAAGAAAAACTCGTTATTACGCAGTGTGAACAAAAAGGCGAACCACACGGAGAAAGAGAGCACGCTTACCTCAAAGACAGATGTGATCTTCAGCTTGTAAAACACCGGCACTATGATGATCGTTATGAAAGGCATAGTAACCAGCATGGGCAGCATACCCCACATCATATGTATACCATACGCGTAGTAATGAGCCGTGAATCCCACAATGCCGAGAGCCGACATCATCGATGCCAGCACTGAAACGGCTAAGGGAAACATGGCCAGCGTTCGGTTCCCGAGAAACACTTCATCTGTGTCATCCTGAAGGCCAGCTCGCTTACGGAAGGAGAAGTACAGGCCCAGAAGGATGTTGCCTCCCACTATGATGGTGAAGATCAAGTACTCTATAGGGTGCACCATAGTGGTCCTTGGCTGTTATCTCTGGTGTGGAGAAAAACGGTAGCTGTTCAAGACCTTCCATCATAGCCAACGTCTTAGTAAACAGTGAAATTTGTGTCTAACAATATCTCTACAGCTAGGATACAGGTTGAAAAGGTAATGAACAATTACCATTAGTAGAGTTGACCTTTCGACAATGAAGCTTGTCGACTGGCCTACTTATGCAACTGTTAGCTCAAACGACACCCGTATTTTCAAGATGTTTTCAATTTCATGCGTCCAACTACCACTAAACTGAACTAATGCTATTACTATGCTTGCAATGATCATGTACTAGCCGTAAATACGACTCATACTAACGGACAATTCTCAATTACTTTCTAAAAAACCTCTCTTGTCAATTAAAAGGCGAGGAAAAAAGTCGCCTTTTATTACTTAAATTTTGATAACTTTTCGGGTAAGCAACCTTTTGAATCTGGTTTATACGGTTCACAGTTGTTGTTATGGAATATATAGAGCTACGTTATTGTGAAAAATTCAGGCATAAAATCGCGCTCATCTCGTAGAATAAAACGAATGGCAAGCGTGGTCCTCCAATCAACACAAGTGAAGTAGTAGTGATTAGAAATATCAAATTGCGCACTCACCTTTTGCCGACACATGCGGTGATTCAGTTCCGATCGAAGTGAACACACGGGAGAACAACGTGTCTGGGCTCTTCATCCACACTGAGAGGTAATCACCCTTGTTTCTTCTGTCGCAGTCGGTCACGCTAGCAGCTGTGTCGTTTTTCTCTTTAGTCAGCTATCGCGGCTCTTACAGCTTTGGCTATGTAGCCTGTACAAACGAACTGGCTTTCTGTATTGTAAAGGCTGTTAAAAGGCATTGTATTTTTGGTGGTCGTAGCTTATGTCTCTATGGTGCTATTGATCAGAGGTTCTAAAGAAAAATTGGACACGTAAAGTACTTTTCAGCCACCAGGTCTTATTACTGCTCCAATTAGAACTACTCAACGTAGCAAAGTAAAAGTACATTTCACGCTAAGAGCTGGAAATGCATGCTCAAGGAGTTGGGTGGTAGGATTGTAATAGTTTCTAAAGCTAGTAAGAATAATATCCCAATATGTGAACAACATTCTTTGCATGTAAGCTAGTATGAATCCCGTAGAATGTTCATATAGGCAGAACTGGCAATGTTACAATGTGGGCTCAGCAAGGAATGAATTTCACGTTTACAACAACATCATGAAGGAAACTGAACAAAAAACAGGTGTTCGCCGAACAAAATAGCTTTTCACGACCCAAGTGAGGAGACCGGAAACGACGGTACAGATGAGAATCTGCTGAGTATGTTCTTTTTCTAATGTTGTTGATTGCACATGTCAGATGACATATCTGCTGAGCAGTGAGATATACTAGCTGTTTATATGCATTTGCAGGAAACAACGTGCACCTGCACTCGGTGAAGAAAAAAACCGACTAAAAAATGAGCCATTACTGAGGAAAGCACTGTGTTCAGAATATTAACGTTCATTTAACAAACATTCATCTGTATCACCAATGATTCATCGCACATTTCAGCAGTTCTATTTCAGCTTTCTTGCGGAAATAGATCTGATCAAACGTCTACTATTTAGTTACATAGAAAAAGGGCGACTTGAAGAACTCTCAAGTTATAATGAACACCACAGAAAAAACGAGCATTCTCACTGCATACAAGACAAGATCAAAACTCGCTTCACGCTACCTTCTCAGAAAACCTTTACTTGTTTCAGCCATGATCCAGAGCACGTTTAACGCACTAGTTCTCCCTTTGGTGTTGCGGGAAGACAGAATACGAGTGCAGCAAGTTACGTCTCCTTTTCGGGGTCATGGGGTAACAGCTGGCAATACCTCAAATAATTAAGTTTAAAGTTAAGCATTTTGTAAAGGCCTTTCGCGCCTGTATCCTACTAAGAAGCACTTGCTACGCAGGGAAGATGTTACGGGAGAGGAACAAAGCAACCAGAGCAAGTATAATCTAAGCATTGCTCTCAAGAGAGAGAGAGAAATAACATTTGTTTATACATCCAGAGTGTAGGAAGTCCCCGGCCTCGCTGGGCACGGATGTTCCCTATCTTAAAATTACGGCTATTAGAGTCCGATAATCTCAGAGCCTAGACCTCGAGGATGTTGTGCTCCGACTAGGTGACAGTTACTCGGGTGCCTCCGCGCCCGTTAGACGGGTCCTCTGCTCCTTTTCTCCACTGCTTCGCCAAAGCCTTCTCAAGCCGCTGGATGGCCCTTTGCTCTCAAAGCCTTTATTATATTGTTAGGTGAAAACAGAGTCATGCGATAGAAGGAATGCGCCTTTCCGAGATGGCGCAGTAGCAACCATCTCTAACTCATAATGTTGAAGTATCTATTACTATCATCATGACTGTCACGCATGAATTTAAGAATCTCATGAACAATTCTATTCTTTTCGGCACACTGGTTCAGCCTTTTAGGGTTTCTGTTTCGACTTTATTTGCTTTCTATTTGTAGCTAAGCAATCGCCCCAACGATATAAGGTGTTGGAGCGTGACCGCACACGACGGGACATCTTGTTCTTTGTGTGTAGGTTTTGTTCTGCATTGCATTGCGAAGTTGACGACATGCGTCTTTTTTTGCCTCTTGGCACCAACCTACGAGTAGAAAATGGACGTCATGCAGCCGTGTCTTATCCCATGTCTCTAAAAAAACTGCCTCCGAACCCTTGTAGCCATTGCACGTGGAACGCACGGACATGCATATGTGCTGTTTATGGTCATGCATTCCCTAATATCGAATTTTTTCGAAGAGTGTTTAGCGAGTGGTGGAGCAACGTCAAGGATCTCGCTCTTTTATTTTGCTCTACAAAGTGGAGCGCCAGCCGCTGCCAACGTTCCAACCACCAGGCGCGGTTCGTTCTCACTAGCACGCGCCTCGAACTGTCAGCAGGAGCGAGAGACCCGGTGCCGTAGCTCGCAAGTGATGATTCTGATGAATGTCAATGAAGATGACACTCCAAAACCGAACTTTCGTGGTGACATGCATATAAGATCCTGCGTATACCGCAAGTAAGACTGTCAATCGCGCCATTGCGGTGGCAAACATTGGTTATACCGGTGTGATTTTGCAAGCGAATTGAATTTTTCAGCGCTCTATTGCGTGTGTGAGTCATGACTCAAATGTTAGACTTTGTGAAAACCTCAAGAATTACCACAAGCAGGAATGCCGGAAATGTCTAGTGCATTCATGCTACTTAAGGTAATGGCATGTGAGATATTAGCATACGAAACGGTTTTTATAACGCTGAAGTCATGAACACTTAAACAGCCGATTCGGGCATTCTGCCTAGGTTTCTCTAGACCTTATTGACAGCCGATTCAGTCTTTCTGCCTAAACTTCTTTAGATCTTATTGATGCTCAGTAGCCAATGCGACGATTGTGTTTTTATAATCAATTTAACCGCATGTTTTGCAAAAAAATATTTAATGTTTGTGATTTTTGTTCGCAGATTACAATTGTTCAGTAGTAAGAGCATTAAATATGCTCGCGAGCGCATCTAGTGGCAAACAAAACGCAGCTGTCGCACTGTTGCATGTTTGAAAAAAGGCACCCTGTTTTTATTTAGGTCAGGATAGCACAGTATCTTTGTGACCCGAAGACGTCAAGTGAAGCTAAAGTAAAATCATAATGTCCACTTAGCAAGGCTATAGCGCTCAGCTGTCATAATTACGTATCCACCTCTACTGAAAAAATGACGCCAGTTACTACTAATTTAGGCCATCGCATTCTGCCACAGAACTTTTCTTGGCGTTTTATTTTCCCTAACACTTGACAAATAACATGCAACTCCATTCGAGTTCTATAGGTTGAATGTAAACATTCGACAGAAGTTTGTCTGGTTTGGTATGAAAACTGAAAGATTATTTAAACTTTTTTAGCTGTGTCTTAGCAAACCCAGACACACCTTAACAAGCTACTTGCGGAAATTTTCAAGCATTACCCAGATCTGAGAACACTTTACCAGCGAATAATCTGTCATAACAGACCCGCACCGAGTTTCTATGGGCTAGGAAAAATTCACAAGACTGACGTCCCCTTCCGACCGATTGTAGACTTCACTTCCTTTCCATGCCGAGCCTTTTCTAACTTTCTACACCGAATCTTCGCTCCCCTAACCCGAAAGACACCAACTCATGTTCGTGACTCCTGCCACTTTGGGTAGCTAGCATCAGATGTGACCATCGACAATAACGAGAGCCTGGTCTTTTTTGACTTCGTTTTATTGTTGACCAATGTGTCAGTGTCCTTAGCGGAGTCCTCTGCCCGTGCAGCGCTTGAGAGTGAAGCAAGCCTGAGTGAAAGGACTTGTTTGGCGGTTGACGAGCAATGCCGTCTACTGGTAATCTGCCTGTCCAGTACGTACTTCTATTACAAAGGAACTATTCTCAGGACTAACAATAGAACCACGTTCGGAGCTTTCATCTTCGTCACGATGGCGAACCTAACCATGGAGCACATAAAAGAGAAGGCACTCAGCCCCTTCTCGCCATGACCCAAGCTTATTCTTCATTATATGAGCGATTGCTCTTGCGTCATGAACACGTCTGCAATTGAAACCGTCAGACAGCATCTAAATTCCGTGCACCCAGTCATACAATTCACAGACGAGTGGGAAAACCAACCCTGCATGCCCTTTCTGGACGTTTAGGCGGAAAGAAAGCGCGATGGCCTGGAGTTTTTCGTTCACAGGAAGCCAACGCACACTAGCCGCTACCTTCAATTTGATTCATCTCATTCCGCCTACCACAAAGCTTCGGTGGTGACTACGCTACCCCAGAGAGCTAAGAACCTATTCTCCAATGACAGGGAGTGAAATAAAGAAGAGGTCCGCGTAATTGTGGACTTCAGAACAAAACGGATACCAAGAAAACTTCATTCGATCCACCACCCGCCGCACAGCACAACAGAGAATACTAAAACTCCAATCAACATTATATGGCAGCCCTCTGAAACGCGTACTCGTCTCGTACGTTCAGGGAGCCAGCGAGTTGTTGGCGCGGATCTTTAAGGAAGAAGGGGTTCGCATCGCGCACCTGCCTTCGTGTACGCTGGGCCACCTCCTGCCCCGCCAGAAAGACCGGCTAACAAAGGAAAGGACCCCGGTGTCATTAAAAAAATCCCGTGCGCCAAGTGCCCTTTCTTCATATATCGGCAGGACAAAAATTGGCCCAAATCTGCATGTTTTAGGGCAAATATTGTCGATAGACGATACTCTCGCTTCTGGAGAGAGTGAAAAACACGTTTATTTGATGTTCTGCGCAAGAAAATTGGTGAATGGGCGGAATGGTATTTTGGAGGTGCTGCGTTAGAGTGCCCCGAGCGTATAGCAGAGGTGAACGAGCGCATCGAGGCACGTTAGACACGAGCACCGTCTGGCAGTGATTTTACAAAACGAAGGCGTGTGCTCTCGCGGAGAAAGATGCGCGCCAGTCTCGGAAGTTATAAGGTGTAGAACGCAAAGTGACGGGCAAGTGCCACGACTGTGTCGTCGTAGCAAAGCGTTGGACGCACTTACCTTTTTTGAGCAACACGTTGCACTGTCAGCGTGGTGCGATGAACGGTACAGTCCTTAGAGTTACTTGTGTGTGCCTCTTCTAGTACGAAAGGCAGACTGTGATGCAGGTTCTTGTTGCTGATTTGTTTTTCTCCCG